GAAGTGTTGTCAGCGGCATTGGTAGAAACGATTATCCCACACTTCCTGTCAGCGAGAAAGATGAACACGAACAGCAACAGCAGCGACAGCAGAAGGAGGCTGAGAGCCAGACCGCTGCCCCTCCTTCCACACGGGGGCGGCGAGGTCATCACCACCACCATGGCCACGCCCACCACCATCACCACCATCACGTGACATCATCATCCGGTACCAGGACTCCAAAAAGCCCGCCGGAGCAGCCGTATGCTCAGGAGACGCCGCTGATGTTCAGCCGCTGCACATCTGTTAGCTCCCTGGACAGCTTCTCCACGTCTTCCATTGCCAGCTCCGTACGCTCCAGTGAGCCCTGCAGCGGCGTTCCAAGTGGTGTGGTGAGTCCCAGCGACCTACCCGACAGCCCAGGTCAGACGATGCCTCCGAGCCGCGCTAAGACGCCACCACCGCCCCCAATGCAGAAGACCAAGGAAGAGGAAGCCAAGAAGAAGGACGAAGAAGAGAGCAGCGCTGACGTCCTGCTACACTTTGCCACCGAGAGCACACCGCACGGCTTCTCCCAGGCATCCAGTCTGAGCGCACTCAGTCTTGACGAGCCATACATCGCAGCAGAGATGAAGAAGAAAAGTGAGGAGGAGGAGGAAAGGAACACGGACAGGAAAGCGGAGGAGGCAGCAAAACCCATCCTTGACGAATCAGACGATGATGACGACATCGAGATCCTGGAGGCTTGCATCAACATGGCAATGCCCAAGTCGTCACGGAAACCAAAGAAACAGCAACATGCAGTGCCACGGAAACCCAGCCAGCTTCCTGTCTATAAGCTCCTGCCACCTCAGAGCCGCACCCAATCACAGCAAAGGAAGGACATGCCGCCACCGGAGGAGGTGCCGAGAGTTTACTGCGTGGAGGGAACTCCGCTCAACTTCTCCACTGCCACCTCGCTCAGTGACCTCACCATTGATTCTCCGCCCAATGAAGAGGCAGTGGCAACCATCGTTCCTGCGGTGCCACCCACCTCCACACAGAGGAGGCGAGCTGGACTTCCCGAAGGAGAGAATGGTGACGACATCCTCGCAGAGTGCATCAGTGCTGCCATGCCAAAAGCCAAACCAAGAAAACCAATCAGAACGGCATCAAACAGCGAGCAACAGCAAGCCCCGCCCCTCCCTCCTCCTCTTCCTCCTTCAGTCCCACCTCCTCTCAGCTCTCAGCAGCAAAAGAAAAAACCAACGTCGCCTGTGAAGCCGATGCCCCAGAGGGTGACGCAAACTGTCACTGCGGCAACAACTAACAAAGCAAAACCGGGGTTCGCCTTTGACTCGCCGAGACACTACACCCCCATTGAAGGAACGCCATGCTGCTTCTCACGCAATGACTCGCTAAGCTCACTCGACTTCGATGAAGAGGAGGGTGGTGCCTGTGAGAAGGACGAAGAGGAAAAGAAAACACAAGAAGAAGAAGGCAGGAAGAGGAAGCAGCAGACGGCAGCCGTTTTCCCTCGAACCAAACCTTCAACGAATCAGATGGTGACAGATGAGAAGCAGAAGTTTGCCATCGAGGACACGCCTGTCTGCTTCTCCAGGAACTCTTCTCTGAGCTCACTGAGCGACATTGACCAGGAGAACAACAACAAAGAGTTTGCTCCGCCGCTGCCCGAGCAGAAAGAAGGAGGGAATACAGGAAAAAAGTCTCCTCCTCCTGCGCAAGTGGAGTCAAAGCCCCGCCCCACTGCTGCCAGCGGCTACGCTCCTAAAGCGTTCCACGTGGAGGACACGCCCGTCTGCTTCTCCAGGAACTCATCGCTCAGCTCACTCAGCATCGACTCTGAGGATGACCTGCTGCAGGAGTGCATCAGCTCCGCGATGCCCAAGAAGAAGAAGAAAGCTGCCGCCGCTGCTGTCCCTGCCGCTGTCACCACGCCACTCCCTGTTCCTAAAGCCAACGAAAGCATTCTGGCAGAGGAGGAACCTTCTGAGGTGCCGAGAAGCCCCGCCTCCCCTGACTCAGAGTCGTTTGATTGGAAGGCAATCCAAGAAGGCGCCAACTCTATTGTCAGTAGCCTGAACGCAGCAGCTGCTGCCTCACCACTATCCCGCCAACCGTCTTCAGACTCGGACTCTGTCCTCTCCCTCAAGTCTGTGGGCTCGCCATTCCGCCTCCTGACAGCCAATAACAATGCAGAAGAGGAGGTGGAGGAGAAAGAGGAGGTGAAGCGAGGAGCAAAGGTCCTAAAGCCAGGAGAGCGCAGCACGCTGGAGGTGAAGAAGAAGAAGGAGGAAGAAGAGGAGGAGGAGGCAGCGAAGGCTCTGAGAGGTGGAAAGAAGGTGTACAGGAGTCTAATCACAGGAAAGCCGAGGGCGGAGCCAGCAGCCAGGGGGCGGAGCAAGCCAAGAGCTGCAGCCATAGCCAAAGCTCCGGGCAGCGGCGATGACAGAGGAGGCGGGTCATCTCGGGACTCCACTCCATCTCGCTCCTCCTCTGCAGCCAATCAGAAAGGAGGAAAACTGTCACAGCTGCCACGAACCGCATCTCCAGGAAGTGCATCATCATCATCATCGACCTCTAGACCGGCCAAACAGAGCATGACAGCAAGAAATGGCGGTGGCGGCGGCATCCCGAGAAGCGAGTCTGCGTCAAGGGTCAGCAGCTCCACGACAAAGAAGCAGAAGGCAGAGCCTGAGAAGCCGACGCTTGTTCGGCAATCGACCTTCATCAAAGAGGCTCCGAGTCCAACACTGAAGAGGAAGCTTGAAGAATCTGCAGCAGCAGCAGCAGCGGCGATAGATTCACCGTCCAGTCCTGATGCACCACTACCACCTACAACCAGGAGACATGATATTAACCGCTCTCACTCTGAGAGTCCCTCACGCCCACAGGAAGTGACGTCATCACGCTTCAGCCGCACTGGCACCTGGAAGCGGGAAAATGGTGGCAGTGCAGGAGGAGGGAATGGCGGAAAACACTCTACGTCGCTACCACGCGTGGGGACATGGAAAAGGACAGGAAGCTCGTCATCCGTGCTTTCAGCATCATCGGAGTCCAGTGAAAAGGGGCGGAGCGAGGAGGAGGGTGCTGTGCGGTCGAAGGGGACGTGGAGGAAAGCGAAGAGTAACGCAGACTCTTCAGCTGGACGCAGCTTTATAGAGAAACCTGAAGATGTGTGGGTTCGTCTGGAGGACTGTCCTGTCAACAATCCACGCTCCTCCTCCTCCTGTTCAACCCGCTCACCCACTACCCCCAACGCCCCGCCCGTCATTGACAGCCCTGTCCCCTCTAAAATCCCCTCCTCATCCTCTTCCTCCTCCTCAAACCTCAACCTGCGTCGCAGCTGTGAAAGCCTGGAGGACAAACCGCCACCACCTGAACGCCAACAACCCCAGCAGCAGAGGGGACAGCCACGCAGCGGCGCAGTGGCAGCTCGAGTCAGCCCGTTCAATTACACCCCAAGCCCGAGGAAGAGCAGCACCGATGTCACCACCACCACCACAACAGTAACCAGCACAACATCGTCATCAACGACACCTACACGACCTTCACTTATCCCCACCCCCGTCACCAAAAAACGGGAGCCAAAGGGTGGAGAGGGTGGCAGCAGCAGCAGCAGTGGTGGCAGCAGTGGTGGCGAGCGCGGATCTTACATCGTGACGTCAGTGTGAAAAATGTGGACACAAAATGGCCGCCTCAGTTGATAATTAGTGTAAATATGGAGCGTAAAGTGTACAGGAAGTGAGTCTGTATTTAAGTGCTAGCCCCGCCCCCTCCGCTGTCAAGTTTTTATACCACTGAAATTATGTGTAGCGCTTAGCCCCACCCTCTCTGCCTGTGTCCCTGCATGGCCCAACCCCCACTCTTAACGATGATGGTAACCATGGTGACAGATGTTTTGTTCATAAATTATTTTTAATTCACTTAAAACTGTCAATTGTTTTTTCTCCGACAGACCCGTCACAACTTTTTTATTTTTGTTCATTGAAAACTTTTCTGAATGACATCAGATTCATGTTTTTTCTTCTGACGACTAAATTGTAAAAATGTTAAAAGTTTGTGAGTTTGACGAAAAGTTCCTGAGAAATCTTGTTGGCTGAAAACTTCCTGCTCTGTGTTGCCTTGGAAACAAATAACACTGTAAAACATAAGTTATTGCTGTAAAACTTTGAACGTTGAAGCACATAAAATGTAAAACTAATGATTTTTGCCAAAAAGTTTTTAATGTTCTCATTAATTTTCACTGTTTTTATTTCTGGAGAAAAAAAAAACTTTTTGGTGAAAGTGATGAAAAATAAAATTCAACATTTTAGGATCAAAAGTTTCTTTGTCATTGTTTGTTTCAGTGAATATATAAAGTTATCGTTGCTGTAGCTCCTCCCTCATCAGACACTGATTAGTTGGTTCAGACGTGTCTCTGTTCTCTTATGACACTTCCAATTTGTTTATAAAACGTTTCTGCTCTTTGTTCCGTCCCTCGGTTCAAATACCTTCATTTGTACATTTTCTCAATTTATATAACATGTGACTTATTTTGAAAAGCTGATGCTGGTAAAGGGATCCAGTTTTACCTTAATTGAATATTAAAGTAAATCATTGATAATTAACTTAAACACTCAAGATGTTTTTCCTCCACTTTCACATTTAGATGAGCTTTGTTCCAAAATAAAATCTTTAACAGTGGAGATGACTTACATTTAATCAGCAATTTGTAAAGTAATACAGAGAACAGTAACAGGAAAGTGAAAAGAGCAAAATTATAAATAAAGTAGTGCAGCTTTTTTTACACAAATTAATCAGAAAGTTTCCACCAGATCAAGTATTTCCTGTCAAAAGCTTCTGAGCTTTTATTTTGAAACTATGTAAAGCGGAGGATAATATTTCCAGTTAAATTTAAAACAATGAACGACCATTAACATTTAATTCATAAAAAATCATCCTTTTGATTTTCAGTGTAATAAATAAAAAAAGGTGTCCAGCTGTCATCTGTCAGTTCTCTTTTACTCTGACAGCACAGACAGGAAGTGGGATTGTGATGTTGTGACTTCACTTCCTGTCAGTGCCCTCTGTCTCGGGAATGGAAACTCAGAAGGTAAGAGCCTGATCGATATCGATGATCGATAACTGACCGGTGCTGAGGTCGAGTCCCATAGACAACACATGGAGAGAGAGAGAGGGGGGGGTAGCTGTTAGCTCTCTCTCTCTCTCTCTCTCTCTCTCTCTCTCTCTCTCTCTGAATGGCTGCTCCGCTTCTCTCTCTCTCTGGTCGAGTCAGGATCAGAGTGACTATATTGATTACCAGGTTATTCATTGTCTATGTAGCCCGACCTCTCTCTCTCTCTCTACCACACACACACACACATACACGCACACACACACATATACACACGCACACACACACACACACGTTAAACGATGCTGTCCGAAAAAAGTGTTGATCGATAAATGAACTGATGCAGATAATCGATTGATTGTTGATGAGTCTCGTGTCACATGATCATCGATCCGGCTTCCTATTGGACGTTTTCAGTTAGATTTGTCTGGACGAGATGATTGGTTGTTCAGCGATGATGTCAGAAACAGGAAGTGGAGGAGAGCGATGATTGGTTTACATGTGATTAGGGCGGAGCTGTGTATATATGTGTGTAGGGGGGGGGTTGAGCTTTGTGATCCAGGTGTTTCACCTGGACAGTGACATCACATGACATCATCCTGACGTCATGTGATGTCACCTGACGTCGCATTTTGCCTGTTACCGTGTTTCTATGGTGACGACGGATTGATTCAGATTTTGTGTGTTTTCCTGCTTTTTAACGATTTTAACGATTTGTTTTTGTTTTTTGATAAACAGGAAGCTCTGCGCAGGATCATCAGCACGTTAGCCAATAAGAATAAAGAGCTCCACAACTTCCTGGAAACAGTCGACAACACTCTGACAGGACTGCAGGTCAGAAGCTGATTGGCTCAGAGAGTTCGGTAAAAATGAACATTAATAAACATTAAATAAACTTTGTCCAAACAGGAGGAGTCATGCAAGGTGACGTCAGACCTAGAGGCGGAGCTTGAGCAACTCCACTCCGCCCTCAACGAGAAGGGGGAGGAGCTCCGTGATGCGATCAAAGAGGAGAGGCACAGGAAGGAGGCGGAGCTTCAGGTTGAGAATAATTTTTAGAAACGTTGTAAATTATTTTTGTAGTTTTCTCTGTATGACGTCATAATCATTAGAAAATGGTTGTTTTTGTTTACATTGTTTTATTTTTTATTCTGTTTGTTTTTCAGAAGCAACTGACTGAGGGAAAGTTCGCGCTTCTGTCGTGTGAAGAGCTCCTCGAGTTTGCAAATGAAACACTGACCATTACCACCGAAGAAGAATTTCTAAAAGTGAGAAATAATAAATCAAATCAATCAAAAAACAAAAAAGAATCATATCATAAATATTTAACGTTTCTTTCTTGTGTTTTATTTTCAGGCTGCAAAACAAATCAAAGAAAGGTTCGTTCACTCTTAATATATTTTATCTTGAAGAGGTTTTCATTTATTTTGACATGAATATAAATGAAAGACAACGTGGTGATTCTGAAGAGTCACAGCCAGAAGTTTCATGAGGGTTATTTTTACATACAACAGAAGCTGGATTGTTCTGTTTGAACCTCATTGCATGATGGGAACAGGAAACTATTGTAAGAGAGCACAATGGTATCACCAGATAATGAAAAAGTGATCCTCAAATTGTTTTGGCTGTGACTCTTCAGGGATTCCATTTGTTTCACACAATGGAACTGAACACATATTGTGTATAAATATATATAAATATACACACATGTACATATATGTGTATATTCATATCTACATATAAATATGATTAAAACAATTAATTTATCAGTTTTCTTTCGTCATTTCTAATTCATTTGTGTTTCTTCTTAACATTTATTTTTACTAACAAATCAAAATTAATAACAATGAATCACAGCTCTCGGATAATTTGCTAAAAAACCCCGCCCCTTAACCTCATAATCCCGCCCCCAAACCCCTAAAACCAATCCCCTGGGACCCTGCACCCTCCTGTCGTCAGGGTAACGATGGCTCCGGCATTTCGGCTGACAACCCGTCCGGCGGTTTCGGGGAACATGGCGAAATTCACCGTGGACTTTAGTCCAGAGAGGGAGGGGCTTCAACGACTTCACTTCCTGCCAGGTGAGTGATTCACAGATGATGATCGTGTTCATCTGTAGGTGGAGCTTGCTCAGTTGCCAAGGAAACTGGATGACCTATAATTCACAGCTGTTTTCAGTCACAGGAAGTTTAAACCTTAAACACGGAACATGTAGTTTTCATGATCATTTTACTTCCTGTACTTGTCACAGTACCCAAACCTCCAGAGATCGACATCTCCGGCTGCATCATCGGTGACAATAACATCACTGTCGCCTGGCGACCGGCAGGTGATGGTGACGGTGACAGCGTCAGCGGACCAATCAAATGCTTCGACCTGGAATATCAAAAAACAAACCATGACAGCTCGCTGAAAGCGGCAGGAGAAGGATGCTGGGAAAAAATCTGTGACATCACAGAGTCTCAGTTCACCATCTCAGGTGAGCTAGTGACAGCATCAGTTATCTGCTAGTTAGCAAATATTAGCATGCTAACATGTCATCTTATTTACACTTGAACGTATTTACGCGGAATTTATTTGATGTTAATTGATTATAAAAAATTGTTAAAAAACATTCCATTTAGTTTATGACAATACGTTTTATTCAGGTGAAACTATTTTAGTTCCAGTTTTCTCATTAGTCAAATGTTTACAGTGTTTGTGTGTGATTGTGTTTTTTCTCTGCTGCATCATCGCTTGGACACGACCTCATTGGCTTTTTCACACCACTGTTTTTTCATTTCTACTCTGGAACATAAAACGTTTCTGAGCTCATTGTTAATTAATTAATTTTATTTTATTTCATTTTACTTTATAGCAGCAGATGTGCGACACCCTCCCCCAATAAGACGGCAGGAAGTCGAGCTGGCCGGGACAGATTTGCTGGAGAGTCGTACACAGTTCTGGGTAAAATGCTCTGACACAGTATTATATCACAAAATATCAATAGAATAGAATTATTATTGTGTGAGGATTTTATTAGAGATGAAAATAGTCTTTTCTTCCTGTTTTAATAGTATTGACAATTATTTTCATCTTTCAGCAGACTTTTATTTTGAACAGAACAGAAAACACTCATGGCCTTTACTTTGAAAATTTTTTAGATTTCTAAATATCTTCGCTCTGTAATTTTTGTCAAATATTTCAACTTTCAATATTCTTTGTTAATCTGTTTCCAAGGTGACCAGGAGATGACCGAAGGCTGCCACTACTGGGAGCTCCGCCCCCTGGCTGACTGGAAGTCGTTCAGTGTGGGTGTGGCATATCAGGCCAGCCTTGGCCGCTTTGACCAATTAGGTAAGAGTGCTGGCTCTTGGTGTCTTCACGCCAGCCAATGGCTGCAAACCTCGCTTGCTGCCAAACATAACAACCGAGCAAAGGCGCTGGAGTGGCCGCTGCCTCAACGAATTGGAATCTACTGCAACTACGACAACGGTACGAAGAAAATACTGAATTTATTGTTTTAGATTTAATTTAATCCACAAATTTATTTTCAGATTTTAAAAATGTCACTGTTTTGCTAAGTTGAGCTTCGGATCTGTGTTTCATGATTCTCTCTTCGATCTGCGTTTCAGGTGATTTATCGTTTATTGACGTTGACCGACTTCGTCTTCTTCATTCCTTCAAAACAAAGTTCAGTCAGCCTCTCGTCCCTGCCTTCACTGTGAGTAATACTAATAATAGTATTATTACTGTAGTATTATTACTGCAGTCGTACTTCACCGTCTCTGCCTTCACTTCTGTAATATTAACAGAATTTAAACTGTGTTGCAGGTTTGGTGCGGAGGTATCACCATAGCAACAGGCCTGCAGGTCCCGAGCTTCATGGGAAATTTCCTCTCCACCAATCGGAGCCTGAGTGATCTGTCTCAGTAAAGAAATTATTCGTTTTTAGCTTTTAGTCTTTTTTGTTATTTTTCATATTGTCAGTAATTAAATTTCTATTTATGAATAAATAAATATAATTATAAAATATAATTGATCTGTGAATTGTTATTGTTATATATATAAGCATTAATATACATATAAATACAGTTCATATACATTTTAAAGCTATAATGATGTTATTTTGAACTTGAATTAATATTTAATATATTCAATTTAATTAATTTTTAAGATTTTCTTTTAGTGAAGATATGCTTATGTTGAGTTGGGCTTTTATTATGACTAGAAAGAGGAAAGCTTTTACTTTGAAGACTGTAATCATATTTAATTTATTGGGGGAGTTCAGGAAGTTGTTGGATTTGTGCTTTTATTCTGAAAGACTTGAAAATGTGTGCATTACTTATTTTGAAGGTGAAGACAGAACATCCTGTCGCTGTAACTGACTTTTATTTGTGAAGGAGAAATCACTGGGTAATAATTTCACATGTTTCTACTTATTGATTATTGATTGATTGTGTTTCTAAACATGTCAACATCAACATTTTGATAAGCTGTAAAAAATAAACATAAAATATTTACAAACTGTTTTTCTGTTATTTTTCAGTTTATATATTTTTCAGTGTGTATATTCAAGTTTTCTTATTTTTCTGTTGATTTATTTAAGCTTTAATTAGTGATTAGCTTATATATTAAAATTGTATATTTTTAAACTTTATACATTTTTAAGTTTATATATTTTCAGTTTACATATTTATCAGTTTATATATTTTTCAGTTTATGTATTCATCAGTTTATATATTTTCAGTTTACATATTTTTCAGTTTATGAATTCATCAGTTTATATATTTTCTCTTTATATATTTCTGTTTATATACAGCAAGTTTACATATTTATCAGTTTATGTATTTGTCAGTTTGTATATTTTCAATTATTCTATATATGAAACAGCTGATTATTATGAAACAAAACAAAACAAATGACTAAATGAGAGAGGAGGGGGCTTCGTCTCCATGGCAACAAAACGATTAAACAACCTATAGAGAGGCGGAGGGCGTCACCATGGCAACACGACAACAGAGCTAGAAGGGAGAGACAGAAAGACGGAGAAAAGGAAGAGAAGAGAAAAACACGGGGAGGGAAGTGATTAGAGAGAGAAGGAGAGAGAGAGAGAGAGAGTTAGTGACATTTTTACAGTTTTTTCATTTAAAAAGTAAACGTTGTTAAAAAACAGATTAAACTCTAACTCAGCTCGTGATTGGTTCATCTCTGCGAACGCTGTGGTCTTAAAGATGGCCTGTTTCCGTGGTAACCAGGAATTTTATGGAGAAGTCCTCCTATTGGATGATACAAAGATCACACTGATGACAGAACAAGGCATAAAGGTGAGTGAGAACTTTCACTATATTATTTTATTATACTTTATTACATTATAATTTTAAATATTGCTCATCTGTCTCTTTGTCCAAACCCTGATGTGAAATGTTTTTTAATCCCAGAGATCCTCGAAGGCGGCGGCCATCTTGCAGCACGTGTTTTCTCACCTGAACGTCGTGGAAGTGGAATTCTTCGGTTTGAGATTCTGTGACGACAAAACACAGACGGTGAGAAAACGTGGAGTCTGAACATTAGCATTAGCATTATCATCCTTCGACATTCCACTCAGTTTAATGTCATTGGTTTTTTTCAGCGCTGGTTGGATCCCTTGAAAACTCTCTCACGACATCGAGGCCTCAGTAAATTTTTATATTATGTTATTAATAATTTTGAATCATTAATACTTAAATTAAATTGATTTTATTTTAAGAATGATGCCGTTTTGTTAAAAACTGTCATCATTTGGTTTAAAGTTATATATTTCTCATTGTTTTATCTCAGTGGGGCCACCGTACATTTTTTATTTTGGTGTCAAGTTTTACGCTGAAAATCCGTCAAAGCTCAAAGAGGAAACGAGGTGAGATTGAACATATTGACTGTTTTAAACAAACTGTTTCCTGTTTGTCTTTCTTTAGTTTTGTTCCTGCAGTTTTTAATATCGGATCAATTATTTAGAGTTTTAATCCTCTTGAGTTTTTAAATGTTTTAAATTCAGCTTCACCAGTTTCTTTGTACGAAATATACAAAACAAACAGTGTAATAATTATCATTATAATTATTATTTTGTCGTTTTTTTCTTGTCGATAAATTCTTCTCTTTTGTTTCAGGCGTCAGTTTTACCTGCAGCTTCGTCAGGACATCTGTCGAGGTCGTCTTCTGTGCCCCGCCCACCTCAGACCCCGGCTCTCTGCTCTGATGCTGCAGGGTCAGTTCTGACTTTTAATAGGAATCAATCCTTCAGCTGCAATCGATTAATCACTGATCTGAGCAAAGTCTATGTTTGTTTTTACTTTAACAACAATGAATTTTGGTCAAACATATTTCAACTATTTGTTTTTGAAATGTTTTCAGTGAAATAGTTTTATTTCTTCTTGTCTTTCACGTCAGCTGATCGAGGTGATGTCACTGAGGAAGAGGAGTTAGGTGAAAACCAGGAAGTGCAAAGAATCTACAAGTCACTCAGGTAGACAGGAAATGCAGAAATAACCTTTCAAAATAAACAAAGTCACAAATTTTAAAGAAGACAAACATTCTCTCTCTCTCTCTCTCTCTCTCTCTCTCTCTCTGTCTCACTGTGCAGCGGTGTCTCTCGTCCTCAGGCTCAGAATCTGTTCCTGTCTCTCTGCAGCTCTCTGACGATGTACGGTGTCTCTCTGTTCAATGCCTATGTAAGATCAATAATCACATATCAGTCATTAATAATCCATAATAAATCATCATCACTGATTACTAACAGTCGTTGATTCTCTCTGAGCAGCACTGATCAGTTACAAGTGATTAACAACTTATTGATGATCAGTGCAGAAGAAACCAACATCTTTCATTTTTCACACATTCATCCGTCAAATGTTCAGTAACAAATTCATCGATAACAAATGGATCATTCATCAATCTCTGTTGATCCATGAAATATTTATCTGTCAGTTTATCCATCAACACGTTTGTTCATCATATTTCTCGATAACACTGTAATCAATGATCTGTTGCTATGACGACGAATGAGTAACAAATATCAAGAGTTGAATTGTCGACTCAACTTATTATTAATATTTATTTAGTTTTGTGTAATTATTGATCCGTCTTCACTCCCATGATGCTTTGCCAGGGCGAGAACCAGTCGGAGTACTTCCTGGGTCCAACTCCGGTGGGCGTGGTCATCTATAAGAATAAAGTGCTAGTGGGAAAATATTTCTGGTAGGAGTGAGACCTCACGAACATCTGTGATCGACATCTTCCATACGTCAGCCATTTGAATTCACTGTTGTTATATCGATCATAAATAACGTCTCGGTAACAAGGTGTTTCTCGTGCTGCGGTCATGTGACCTGTCATGTGACTCTTCTCCTCAGGCAGCGAATCAACAAACTTCACTTCAAAAATAAAACGTTTGAGCTACGAGTCGTTGGAAAAAACGTGAGTTCCTATTGGCTAACTAATGCTAATGCTAATGCTAGTCATACTACTGCCTGATGATGTCATGATCATATTGATGCTAATAAACTTTATTGTTCACACACATGGAGACAACTGAACAAACCTCAACAAAGAAACATGGTGTGTGTGTGTGTGTGTGTGTGTGTGTGTGAGTGTGTGTGTGTGAGTGTGTGTGCGTGTGTGTGTGTGTGTGTGTGTTACAGGGTTCAGAGACGTCGTTCTTCTTTCATACATCAGATGAATCCGACTGTAAACGTTTGTGGAGATGTTGTGTTGAGCATCATGTTTTCTTCAGGTGACAACATGAAAACACACACACACACACACACACACTCACACACACACACACACACACACACACTCACAGAAACTGATATATTAATTGTGTTTCCTCAGGATGTCGGAGTCAAATCGTTCGACACACAAACTGAGACACAAGAGGTAAAAACACAACTGTTATTTTAACGATTAAAAAAAAAATTGTTTTGATAAAGTAAAAATAAAAATAAATCATTTTGTCTTTTTTCTTTTTTAATCTAAAAAAACAAAAAACAAAAGATGCTATTTTTGATTTATCACTTCGTTGTCGTTATTATTTAAATGAACGTCGATCAAACGTTCTGTTCTCTTTCTCTCTCTCTTTTCTGTGCAGCATTGCTTGTTCGCCCACTCTGGCTTCTCCCCGGCTGAACGTCGGCGAGCTGACAAACAAAAGTGTCCGCGACCAAACAACAACTAAAGATCTCTGTTTGAGGCTCCACCGTACGTTCACTTCGTTTTACTGTTGTTTTAGCAAAATGTAATTATTTACTTTCGTGATTTGAGTTTTAATAAAGTTGTATACAAAGATAGATTTTTTTTTTATTTACTAAATTTCCAGCCAATCACACACAAGAGAGTAAGAGCAGCGATCCAGTGATGACACAGACGGCACCACCTGCTGTTCACAGGTGAGAGAGCGATGTCCTGTGGTCATGTGATCGTGTTGTGATTGGCTCATTGGAGACGAACTGCTTTCCACTTGACGTCTGTGTTTTTAAACTCCACCCCTGCAGCCGGAGTCAGACCGAGGCCATCTCCAACGCACCTTGTATCCACAGGTCAGAGGGCGGAGCAAAGGAGGATGTTGCTAAACCCTTTGCACCCTGGGAAAACAGCGGCCCTGTGAGGTAAAACATGAAATGATAAAATTATAGTTGCAAGCTGCAAGTCATTGGTTATAATAAGATGATAATACTGTCATTA